TATTCTTCCCTTGCCATTCATATAAATTTATATCATCTGTCTGTCCATGTGTGTCTCTTTCTGTCCTTCCTTCCTTCCTGTCTGTCTGTCTGTCTTGGATAGATGACATTCAGATATTTTTTTTTTCATGGTTAGAAATGACATTATCTGATTGTCATTATCATTGGGTAATTACTGAAATTGTTTTTTGAATTGTACACTGATATTAAGAGTTGGCACGTCACATTACCCTGATTATTCCCCTGGGACTGAGTGAGGGAGTTGTAACATTTTAAAAGCTTTTGATAGAAAGTAAATGATGAGAGTGCCACAACTCCTATGACTAGTCTTCAAATGAAAGCCTTTGGGAGTAACCATGGCCTAAAAACATTTAACAATGACGAAATTCATTTGAGTTCTCTCATTGGTGAAACTACCATCAGATAGTTTTCAGCCATATTAAAAGACAACCCAAATTTAAATGCAAGACTATCCATTTCCTGTTTTGGCAATAAAATTGATCACATATTTAAGGTTTTAAAGTTTTCTAAAGCAGACTTGATGCTTATTATTTACGAGTCATTGACTACATAAAAATACGATTAGAAATAATTGATTAGGAATATGCTGCAACTGCAGCTTGAGCTAAACCTGTTTCTTACTCATGAGCCCAACATGATCCAATGTTCACAAGAATTATTCAAAGCCCTGGAAATGGTCGATACTGTTTGATCTAGGATGTATGTGAACTGTCGTTTGATTGGTTGGTTGATGTGTCTGCAGTTCCAGTTCCTTTGGGATGGTAGGTTGATGGATGTGTAAATAATATAATTTATTACAGACACCTTGATGTAGCTTTAATACATCAAGGGGATTTAGCTGAATTAGCTGAATTAGCTGAAAACACCACTGGTTGTACTGCTAAGAAAAATTAAATTTAGTTTGGATGGTACTTAAAATTGACATATGTTATTTTCCCCACAAGCGGCTTACTAGCCTACTCATTCACTTACTCGAAAGCTTTTTATTCTGGCAAAATAGCAGGCTCGCTGACTTGGTTGACTCATGTCATCGGTTTCCAATTGCGGAGATCGATGCTCATGCTGTTGATCACTGGATTGTCTGGTCCAGACTCGATTATTTACAGACTGCTGCCATACAGCTGGAATATTACTGAGTGCGGCATTAAACTAAACTCACTCACTCAATCTGGCAAAATAACGACAGCATTTTGAAGTCTGCAAATTACCAACTTTGATAGAGAATCTCATAACTCCATGGACTCGATAGCAGATCTCCTGTATGAGGATTGGATGGTGCCAATATGTGACGTGACTGAGTGTGTGTCGCTGTTAATGTACCTTGATGACGTTGAGTGTTAAGCATAAGTCATGGGTTTGTCTGGTCCAAACTTAAGTATTTCTAGACTATATATTAAAATTTCAATGTCTGTTAATCCTTTTTGGAGGTATTAGCATCTGACTACTTGGGAGGTCTAGCATGTTTGATTTACATTATTCAACACACTTATTCTGTACTGTTTAAATGTTATTATGTGTCTAAAGTCTTGTACTAATGGGCTGGTGAAGATCCAGGTTAGAATTGACTCTTCAACAACCCATGCTTGTTATTAGAGGCATGTCATTGAATCCCAGTTGTGTAGATGAATGTTAATGATTTTAATCACTGGATTGCCTGGTCCAGCATCAACCATTTACATACTGCCGTTACGTAACTTGAAAATTGCTGAGTGTGTCGTTGAACAACAAACAAAACAAAACAAACTTGTAACGAATGATTATCTTTATTATGCAGAGACATGACTCAGACTCTGTCTTGGCATTAACTAATTACGACAGGTACATGTTTTCAGTCTTCTTGCCAAGCTGTTTTTAAAAGGTGACAAAATATGTGTCTCTCATTGATAAATGTGTTCTTTTTTTTCCAGGCTTCCCATCCAGAGAGCAGACTGCCACAACCTGGACGCGAGAAGAGGCGTTCATTTCTACCTGCACCATCGAGAAGTTTCAACCTACCCACTGTTAACACTATATCTCGGGAAGCCTCCCCGTCAAGAGTTGAAAAATATCGCGAAGCCTCCCCTTCAAGAGACGAGAAAAATGTAATAGTCACACAAAGAATTTGTGTTGGGGACAGAGTTTGTATTGGGGGTATTAAACATGGAACACTCAAATACTTAGGTGAAGTGCATTTAGCACCTGGGATTTGGTGCGGAATAGAACTTGACGACCCTGATGGAAAGCATGATGGTGAGGTTGAAGGTCGACGCTACTTTTATTGTCATAGGGGTCATGGTGTCTTTGCCCCTTTTGATAAAGTTGAGCTCGTTGAACCCGTAGAGGTTCAGATCAAACCTGCTGAAGTATCAGAAAATGTTTTGAAAAGACGATCACTGCCACGCCCGTTGACTGCCTTGCCAAAATCAGCATTACCGTCAGCCAGACCCCTTTCGGTCGGATCTTTACCAGACGTACGAAAACAGGTAGAAACTGTAAAGGATGATATTGACGAGGATCCTTTTGAGGCTTCAGCAGCAAAGGTTAAAGGCAGTGTGATTCAACAAAAGTCTCAGATTGCAAAGATATCAGGTATTCCACGAGTGGGCTTTGTCTCTGGTTTGCCATCCACTCAGCTGAAGCAACAAGATAGTGGATCATCACCTGAATTAAGATATAGCAAAGATGGCCCACAGAAAGATATAAAAAGTATTTTCTCCAGTTACCAAAGTAAGAGTGTAGAGGATAGTGGTAGTGAGAGATTAGGGTCATCTGGTGATGTAACACAGGGTATAAAGAGCACGTCTGCTCCAACAGATCAGGTGGTTGCTAAACCACCAAAACCATCACGTCTGCCTGGAGCGTCGCGTCTGCCAACAAAATTCTCCAAACTGGAAAGACCCTCTCCAACAGAGCCAAAGCCAGTCCCACTTGAAGTGTCTAATCAGCAAGAATTGCCATCAAAGCAGTTATCTAAGACAGCTGATAGCTTGTCCAGTGTAAACAAAACTTTTGATATTAGTACGAAGGAGAACATTCAGGAAGTGGTTGCTGAAACGCAGCCAGCCAGTGGGCAGACAACTGCTGAAGAAGCAGCAGATTTAACACGGCAGCTCCGTTCAGATAGTCGGCAGTTCTTCAACATCACTTTTGATGCTGAAAATAACAGCAGCCTTTCTCCACCTAGTTTGCCAGATGTTGTGTCTTCAGCTTCTATGTCTCCTGACTCCGTAGACGGGAGTCAGAGTGAGGTAGACAAAGACTCCACAAATAAGGCAAACACAGACGACGCCAGTCTCGATCTCCTCGATGATGAGGCTATGTGGGATAATACTGATCTTCTAGACGGACTAGACAGAGAAACAAATATGGCTGATGACAGAATGACAGCAGACACGTCTGACAGTTCTGTTATGAATGACACTGCATGTATTGTTGCCTCTACACCTTTGCCTGTTGGGAAACGGAAGTTTTGTCTTGAAGATCAAGATGATGAGGATCTTGTGAATAAGACAAATATTTCTGGCATAAAGGATTTGTTTCCTAAACTGGAGGAGGGAAATGTCAACACAAATGCTACATTCAATTTTGACAGTTCTGATCACAGCGCTGATGTCACATTGGAGGAGAGGAGCTCTTTCACAGAAGGAAGGTCTGGTGGATCTTCAGGAACGTCTCAGTTGGGGAAGTGTGATCTAATCGATACTGTGGAATCTTCTAAGAGTTCTGGTTCAGCTCGACAAGATGCTGGTGAACACACCTTTCTTGTTGAGAAAGGGATCACTGATATCTCAATGCCTCTAACTGAAATGGATGAAGTGAGGGAGATCGAGAAAACGGGAGTTGAGGATATTCTGGAAGGGATGAGTAAAAGTGTGGTGATGGATTTAGAAAAGGCTCTTGATGGCAATGATAAGTCTATGACAGATTCAGGAATCATGGATCCGATTATGTTGAATCGGAGATCTTTAACAGAGTCTGGTGTTATGATTATGAGCCAGCAAGAAAACAGGAGGTCTATGACAGATAGTGGAATTCTGGAACTGATGCAGAAAGATAAAAAGCCGATGATCGATTCTGGAATATCAGATGGTTCCATGACTAAGAGTCAGCAGCTTGACCTTGAGGATTCTGTGCGTCTGGAGGCTGACCTTCGGGCTGGTCACATGAAGAAGGAGAGACCAGTGTCTCTGATCTCGACCACCAGTGCAGATACAGGTAAGCTCCATCTGTCCTTGACCGATAATTGTACTACACTGTTAATGATTATCCATGTGAATCTTTTCACTATTGTCATGAAAAATGTCCATGACATGCATTACTTCAGGCTTTCCTCCCACCTCAAACACACAAGATATGTACCCATGAAGTTCTGTGTTGGAATTGGGTCTTTGGCAACCCATCCCATGCTTAATGTAAGAGACGACTAACAGGATCAGTGGTCTGGCTTGCTGGCTTGGTTGCCACATCCGTTTTTATTTCTTATATTCTCAGGAGACAATATTTTGAGATTGCAACTGAATTTGGATGGTGACCTTTTTTGCACTGTGGAATCTGGAAGACAATTTCCTCCCAAATTGTTTTGATTACCAACAATAACTTAAAAAGAGGCATTAGTTCTTTTGAGATGGTCCCTCCATCAGTGTACCATTTGATTGGCTGAGGGCAAATTCTGTTTTACACCACAAATTGTGGAGATGGAATAAATGTATTCTTGTGTTATCTTGACATCATCAGCCTATTTTCCAGACATTTCAACACAGTGACTTACATTAGGGAAGTTTGGAAATGTTTATAACTTGATAAAAAAACTAGATGATGCAGGAAAAGAGTGATGGAATTTTGGTAATTATTGTATGGTGTTGAATGTGTTAGAGCAAGTAGGTTGTCATGGTAATTTAAACAGAATGGGTTGATTTGTCAGTGTTGCATAGTTGGCACTTTGTCAAAAAGATATGTGCATGCAGTGATAGAAAACATGAACAAGAGCCAATATGTTCACAATTATATTTCCGACTGTTTTTGAAGTTTATAAGCTTTTGTTAACCTTTTGGGAGCCATCTCATTATTTGTCTCACAATCTGACTCGTGGCCTTGTTTTAACCCTTGTGTATAAGGTATATCGATTTTCGGTAGAAACTGAGTGAGTGAGTGAGTGAGTGAGTTGGGTTTTACGCTTGTGTTAGCAAGATTCCAGCAATATTCATGGAAGGGGTCACCAGGAATCTGCTTCACACATTGTACCGTCAGGGAATCGAACCTGGGTTTTGGGTGTGAAAGCAAACACTCTTACCACTAGGGTGCCCTGTAACCCTGTAGAAATTGAAATGGCAAAAGTAGATATTTACCTCACAATTTATCCCAGTAGTTTTTGTATGATTTGGTCACACCAACAACCTGCGTTCTAGTTTCTGAACCCAATTGTGGATGATTTTCATAGTTCATGAATGAAGCTTGCACCCAAATTTAAAAAAAAGAGTTTCAATGATATTGGTCCTATCTTAATTTATTAATCAAACAAAACACAATTTAGTCTTCACTATCAATCCTTTATTATCTCAGTGCTTTTAAAATGGAACTGACAGACACTGAATTGCTACAAAATGAATTTTAAATCTTCATTATTGAATTATTGAACCTTAAGTCCACTTGAGGGACTTGCTTCGGCACTGTGACACACTTGGAGGAGGAGGTGGCTTTTTTGTCCTTTAGTTTTTGTCACCTTCAATCAATCAATCAACGTCAGTGACGTATCCCTCGTTCAACAAGCCTATTGTCTTTGTAAATATTTCCCCACGGACTTAGCTGTGCTGGGGACACAACCCTTGGTCTAACGGTAGCCATTTGGGGAAAGGGTACAGAAATATGGTGAGGCAATCGTTCTTTTTTATCCCTTTACTAAGTCGTCTTTATTCAAATATGGAATTAAATTTTTATGTGTATGTGCTATACTGACATTCAAGGCTCAATATGTCTTTGATATGCTTCAGATTTAACGTAAAATTTGTTTGAAAAAGGAACACTTAGAATGCTGTAAGCTTTATTACATAAGCATAGATATTGTCAAAATTACACATCATCCGAATGAGTAAATACATGCAACAGGGACATCTGAAGGAGTGAAAGAGGTGGTGATTAGTCATGGAAATTCTTACACAATAAATTGCATTAAATCTTATTTTTACTTTAACTATATTTCAAATTTTAACAAGATAATTTTTTTAACTAAATATATTTGCTGGTAATGTCCTTGAAAGAAGGAGAATTGGTCTCTGCTGACAAGCAAAGTCTTGTGAAATTGTGAAAATATTTTGTCCGAGTTTTTGTTGTCCAAGGGTCAGAGGACCAGTTGACTGTGTCAAATATTATGTTGGAAAATTATTTGAGCGGAGAGGTAGTGTGTCAGGATTGTTATATTTGTGTTTACTCAGATTAAATACCTGATACAGGTGTGACTCTTACTTGGGCTCAGTTCTGCCATTGACATCCTTGTGAGGACAGGTGGGTTATAATCACAGGTGTCACTCTAATTGTATAGGTAAGAATAATGAGATACAGGTATTTTTTTACATTTGAAACAAAGAATGTTGTTCAGAAAATAAAATTTGAGATGAAAGAAAAGATCAAATTTGGAAAAGAAATTTACCTTGTTATTTTGATTCACTAAACAATGTAATTGTTATGATTGTTTTTAGTCATTTAACTTGGTGGTGAGGTAGCCTAGAGGTAAAAAAACCGTTTGGGTTTGATTCCCAACATGGGTTCCATTATGCAACACATTTCCGGCTGCACAACTGAGATATTATTAAAACAGCATTAAGCTAACTCACTTACTAACTGTACAACTTATGTATAGAATGAAATATTAGATGAAACAAACTGTGGATATTTTGTATGAAGAGTTGTTTTTTTTATGACAGTATTTATGACTTTAGGCCTCTATTCAGTAGAGAAATAGTGCTCGGAAAAAATAGACAAAAATATTGATAAGTTAATTTATCTGTGGTAAACAAAGCATGAAAATGTTCATGGTGTGAAAGTGTCAGATGTATAGTTCAAGTTAGACTGTATATCCATATACAGGTAATTCTGTTTGTGAACTGTTTCAAAATTCAAACAGGATAACAAGTTTAAATAAAATGGGTGTTTGCACCTGACAGGTGAAACTGACATTAGAACATCCGTCCTTTGTCTGGTCGTTATAAATCCTGAGTCTTGTCATGTATGTCAGTGATGAGCCTTACACCTGTCTCAGGTGTCTACTTCAATACTTATTCCTGCTTAGATGTGCCACCCAAGCTCAGTTGCATTTTGTGTGTGTCAACCTAGAACATTATTCAGAATAGAGTTATGAATTTTGCAAGTTCTTAAATTTTCAATCCTAAGTGTGCAAGTGTGTATTCTCAGCCACATGACGGTCACAGTTGTACAGACTCATACCTCTTCGTTTATATGTCAAGTTAAAATTTATGATGTAATTCAAACTACTATTTATTGATTTTACCCTAATGACATAAAGACAAAGTATTGGCTTTTCACAAGGCCATTGCATTACCTACAGCGTGTAGACCTTGACTAAACATAAGTAGCAAGCGGGGGCTCTTAGACCCACTTTTATACTTTGACTGGCCATTTGATAATAGTCATTTGCTTAGAACGATGGTCAGGGTTCCATTCAATAAAACTGTTTTAGCATTAAGATGATAAGTCCCATATTTAAATAATATTATATTATATAATAATATATATTTAAATATTTATAATCTTAGAGTTTTTGTGTTTTGATCACTATGAACCAAGTCCCAGTATTGATGTTTGAAGTGATTTGTAAATATGCTTGTCATGTTATTACTCTCTCATGCAATCTCACAGCAATGGTGTAGCCTTGTGGGTAGAGTGGTTGCTTTCCATACCAAAGTCCTGGGTTCTATTCCCTACATGGGTCAAATGTGGGCAGCCTCTTCTGGTGTGCCCTTCATGCTGCTGCAGGAATAATGCTTAAAGTTGTGAAAAGTACCATTCACATCACTGGCTTATTCTGTTAGTGTTTAGTTTAAAACCAGTGAAGATTCACGTTAGAATTGTTCTTCAGCAACCCATGCCTGTCATAAGAGGCGCAAACGGGATTGGGTGGACAAGCTCGCTTACTTGGCTGACACATGTCATCGTGTGGATCGATGTTAATGCTGTTGATCATTGGATTGTCTGGTCCAGACTTGATTATTTACAGACTGCCACCATATAGCTGGACTATTACTGAGTGTGACATTAAACAACAACAAAACTAAACTATTAGTTTAAAAATTCCATTTGGCATATTTGTAATACTTATGGCCCAGGTGGCTAAATATGCCAAATTCACCTTTGGAGTTGTTTCTCTTAGTTATTTCGACATCTGCTGGCTGGTGATTTGATTCCAAATTTTAATTGTTTTCATTTGAAAGCAAAGATACTGATAAAACTTCAGTTATTAATTTGTTTTAGAGTTGTTTTTGAATACTAAATGTAAACTGAAATGTACCTTTTGCAAGAACCAACTGAAAGTAATCAGGTGTTTTCGTGCTTGACTGGCGGTTAAAGCTGATATCACAATTATCCTTATCGAACACCTGGCAAAGAGAAATTATTCATACACAGGTGTGTGCCATTTCTTGCAATCTTCAGAGTAAAGTAGGACATTATGTTTAAATTGCTTATTGCAGTTGGCAGGGTGAGGAAATTTTCACCTCAATCAGAGGCTTTCTAGATGTATTGTGAAAAAATAAGTTGGGGATCATGACTGTTGTTTTACAAAATTGTTTTCTCAGTCTCCACTAGTAAAAAAACACAATATTCATGATCAATTAACTTAGTTTTTATTTAGTATAGCTGGAATATTGCAGATTGCAAGGATATACAACATTCACTCACTCACTTACTCTGAACCATTAAATTCATTTAATGTTATTTGAAATTTAATGGAAAACATTTTCCTAAATATATCTAACTACAAATATTGTAAACAATAAATCAGTAAGCCATGAAACTGAAATAATGTGCATTGAACATGTAAGTCCCCAATGTATGACAAAAGTTATTTATAACACAGGATATATTAAACTGTTATATACCAGGTCATTGCTACAGTGATTCCTATTGGAAACATGTCAGACAGATATAATATATATTACATAGTCTGATGTATATTGTTGCTACATTTGTTCAAACTGATTTGATAACAGACAGCTGTGTCACACTACCTATTCATCTCAGGATGATTGATGAAGGCTCACAACTACACAAAGTTATTATTGCTCTGTTAGAAAGTGCAATATCCCAGTTAAACATGAAGTGATTATAATTCTTGTAATAGTATCAATATATACTACTCAAGGCCTGCAACTTAGTTGTTTATGTACAGAAAATTCCTTATCAAATGGGGGCAGTGGGGTAGCCTAATGGTTAAAGCATTGGCTCTTCACTCCGAAGACCCGGGTTCGAATCCCCACATGGGCACAATGTGTGAAGCCCATTTCTGGTGTCCCCTGCCGTGATGTTGCTGTAATATTGCTAAAAGCGGCGTAAAACCAAACTCAGTCAGTCAGTCAGTCCTTATCAAATGTTGAGGCGTATATACATGTATACGTATTCAGCTGAATATTTTGAAACATGAAGAAAATTAGAGTGATTTTGATACTTTTATTTGCTCAGCTTTACTGCTTCTGACTGAATATTTTATGGGACAGTTTAGATGTTGTGGGTTTAGAATTGTTACTATATAGGTGTCTTGTTGGTTTGATCGGTAATTGAGTTGGTATTTAACACTGCTTGGGACACATACATAATGTCAGCTTGAAGTGAGAGGAAAGTCTGAAGTGATGCACGTCAAAAGTGTTTCCCACAATTGTGAAACCAGTCATAGGTGTGGTACTGACAAACATAGAAACATAATATAGTGAACTGGGATTTGAACCCAGGATCCTAGGTTTTTGGCATGCCCAAGGCACACGGTAAATTGTAGCACATTAACCTACTGGGCCACTTGTGCCCTCTCTTCATGTCTTTTGAACTGTAAGATAAGGTCGCCATGTGATTGTCCCATGCGGGAAAGGTGTGTCTGTCATCATAGAGACACATGGCTTGCATGCTTGTCAATGTAAAGAGTATTTTCTACTAGGTAAGGTTGGTTTGTTAATCAGTAGATGTTCATATTATGACTCGATTTGATAGATTGATGTCTTCACTTTCCATATTCTATTAAACCATGTTTGAAATTGAGGTGGACAGACAAGGGGTCTTTGTCATAACTTAAATATTAAAAATTGAAACATTAAGCAGTCCCTTGATGTAAATATGACATTAGCAAACCTTAATCACTCTGATCTATGTCTGTAAATGTCAAATTAAAGTGGGCCTAACTGCTTTTTAAAGTTTATTAAAGATCGTCTGTTTTCCGTTTTTAAACAGGGCGGTATTTTTAGACCTGTTTTGAACACTGACTATTTATGTTTTACTCCGCCATAAACAGGCTACTGGCTATTAATAGTTCCGCTGGATCAATAGTGAAATACTGGTACAATAGCCATTGCACAACACAAGTATTAATCATGTACACATGTGAGAGTACAGGTGTGCTATTCAGGTGTAACTACAGGTGCTTGTGCTGAACAGTTCCATTGTTAGATCTAAATATATTTCCCTGTTTATGTGTGAAACATATTTTATTGACAAGAATAACCATGTGAAGATACAGTCTGTAATTAAAATGTGTGAATATATTCTTTTACATTTCTAGTACAAGTAAACTTTGATTGTAGTTAGTTTATGATATTTAGAAAACATTGTTATCACCATTTAAGGGTGATTAGTCTGCTAGTCTGAATGTAGCAAAATTCCAGAAACACTTGTCAAATGTCCTTGCAGCTTTTGGGGTGGTGGGGTAGCCTAGTGGTTAAAGCGTTCGCTTGTCATAAGGAAGACCCGGGTTAGATTCCCCACATGGGTACATTGTTAAGCCCATTTCTGGTGCCCCATGCCATGATATTGGTGGAATATTGCTATAATTGGCGTAAAACTCACTTACTCCTTGCAGCTTTATCATCAGGTAGACAGCAACTTTGTTGCAGATAATTTTTCATGGACTAGTTACAAGTAATTAGGATTGTTGATTTCATTAAAACCAAATACTGACGAAAGCAACACTCATTCCATATTAAACACTGATTTTAATATTGTAATAATATTCAGTGATTCATGGCCACAGGAATGATATCTTCGTTATGCTAGAAAGGAAAGCAAGAACGACAATGGATTACGTGATTATGATGAAGTCTGGATTGTGGATTATGTTGTACAAGGATTCACAAGTTGACATTTACTTATACCAAATGTCCTTGAAAGTTTTATGTAATTATGAAACAGGGAATGTAGCTAGTTCCTAATGTTATTTATCACACAGGATATATTACAGTGTATTTACTGGGACATTGCTACAGTGATTCCTACTAGTAGACAAGGCAGCCAGATATGCAAATATATTTATACCACAGAAATGTTATGCAATATATCATAATTTCATTTGTCCCTTGTGTCAGCTGACCTTGTATCTGCTAACTGGTTCTGTTGATAACATTGTAAAAACATTGGATATATTTACCACAGTCCTGGGTTATATATAGCTTGTGTAATGGTTTATCATAATTCTCGGGCAGGAGTGAGAAATGCTCTTACAGCTTTTGTTATGTTCAAGGCTTGAAAGAAAATCTGTTTCTCTGCATGTGTCTCGGTTTGGATATAGAAGGAAAGTAAAATTAAAGTGAAAAATTTCAGACATAAAATATGTGCATATGTTGCCAGAGGAGCAGTACACACTTGTCATGCCTGTCTTGCATTTACTGGGTCATCTGTTGTGTGCAAACCTTTTAATTTAGTGAAAACTGAAGCTGGCAGAATATTATAAAATACTTTTCGGATAATTTGTTCTGAACTTATTTTAAAGGTCTTACCCAGTTCACTCATTCAGTTACTTGATTTGAATGGTGGGGTGTAATATGTGTGGTGCTTTAAGCCAGGTCAGCATTCACATGGTATGAAGTCAATCAAGTTAATTCTTCTTGGAAATAAACGTACATGAACCACATAATGGTTCTTGTAGTCTGCATAACCTGTAGAGGCTCATGGATTGTTGTTCATGGATTGCAGTGAATTCTTCACATGCATCATACATATTCGTGACAGTGTTTGAAACTGTTTTCATTATGTTAATGCTGTTTATAACTTTCTTCATCATGGGTTTAGCATTGTAGTACTTTACTCGGTATATTCTTGTCATGCACAGGACCTCCAAACAGGAACTGTTAATCATATTCTTGGTTGTTTTTGTCATTGCAAACATGCTTAGTAGTTATAACCTCTTCCAGGCATTGAAGAATGGTTAGATAGCACAGTGGTTAATGCTACTGATCTGCTGGGTTTGATGCCTGACAAGCGCACCAAATTGTTTCTTATTGTCTTGATTGGACTAGATGTTATTAAAGGATACATATACCACTTCCAGGCATTGAGGAGTTGTAAGATATCTCAGTGGTTCGTATTACTGCTGTTCTGGGTTTGATGCTTGACAAGCACACCAAATCAATTCTTGTCTTGGTTGGACAAGATATTGCTGAAACCCATGAAGATCCACATTAGACTTGATGCTCAGCAACACATGCTCATGATGTTGATCAGTGGATTGTCTGGTCCAGAGTCAGTTACAAACAAATCATATAGATTGAATATTGCTGAATGCAAAGTCATCAAAAAACAAAAAACAAACAGATATTGTTGATAGAAGATAAACCTTCTCCCAGGTATTGAGGAGTGGTTAGTTAGCTCATTGTTAAAGGTTATTGCTCAACTGGGTTTGATCCCAACACCAAATGATTGGACAAGATACTACTAAACCTTTATATAGGATATTTATAAAGCACACATATCCACGGAACTAGTGCATGCTCAATGCGCTGGTATTTTGCCCTCAATCATTGGATGTCAATCTCAACAGCACATCGTGTTATCAATTTCAACTCCTTGGGGAGAATACAACTCTTGCAGCCACAAGGCACACCGAGTTATTGTGGCATTCTCATCCTAACGAGGTACCCATTCACAGCTGGGTGGACTGGGACACATAGTCACAGTTCTTTGTCCAAGTTCACTGCACGTTGCTGTACCCGCAACTAGGTATTTGCATGTATTCATGTGGCCACCATCTGGTCATATACCAACGGATTCATGGGTTACCTTTCATTAAATATCACATGCTTCAATGTGTGAATTGGGGTTAGCACAATGGTTAATGTGTTTGCCCGTCATGTATGGGAGTTTACTTTGATTCCCACGATGCATAATGTGCTAATAGTGATGATGGTGAAAGCGTTCGCTTATCATGCCGAAGATCCGGGTTCGATTCCCCACATGGGTACAATGTGTGAAGCCCATTTCTGGTGTCCCCCATCGTGATATTGCTGGAATATTGCTAAAAGCAGTGTAAAACGCAACTGACTCACTCACTCACTCACTCCTTCTTCGTTCCCTGCAGGTTATGTACCAGACACAGACTCAGAAGCGGGAACCTTGACAACCAATTCCCCCTTAGACTGGATGGAGAAGCATGTCGGCATTGGAACCACATTGTCATCAGTAGAAGAACAGGACGATTCCTACAGGGAGTCCTTCACTGAAGGTCAAGGTAAGATGGGAATATTCATATGGGATCTCTTCCCACATGACCAATGTCGTTTATATCATGTCTTACTGCTCACTTCCTCTACACAGAAGGTTAGAGGACATCCTGTTACAGGTCACTGGCCAATATAAGGTCATCTAAATCAGAACATTGCTTATGAAAGTGAAATTTCCAAATGTGTTCATGTAATGTTGAAAAGGTTGATACGGGTATTAATGTATGGCAGTTGCAGCCTGTATGACTGATTTCTAATGCATGACGTCATCCGTCTTTCACTTCAGGAGGGTCATCTGTCTCTCACTTCAGTAGGATATAATATTTCAAAAAGAGACAGGGCATAGTGCCACTTGTGAGACTTTCCAACACTTTCTTTTGGTCAATTTTAAAAATTTGAAGGGCAGTACATTAGCCAAGTGGTTAAAGCATTTGTTCATTGCACATATTTCTGGTGTCACCTGCCATGATATTATTGGAACATTGCTAAAAGTTGCATAAAACCACACTCACTAACTTCATCAAATTTCCAGTCTTGAACTTCAAATATTAACTACTTCAAATTGTTAAATATTTTTGAAGCATCGTCTGAAATTGAAATTGCCATTTTGAGTGAAATAATGCCATAACTAGTAGGGTATCCTTGTGGTTGAAGTGTTCACTGCTAAGACCAGGGTTTAGTTCCTCATATGGGGCAGTGTGTGATGCATGTTCCTGGTTTCTTGACATCAGTGTAAAACCTCAGATTGAATGTCTTTGAAAGCCAACATATTCTTGTTTCATTTTAATCTAAACTAAGCACATCTATCTCAAAGCCTTGAAATATTGTTTTTGCATATTGAAACCACAGGAACAAAAATCCATATTGGCATTAATTTGGCAAAGTGAAATAAGAACTTCAGTTTCCTTTTAAAAAAACATCCATCCATATTTCATGGGTAAAATCTATAACTCTTTGTCATCAGTTCTTTTATCCAAGTTTGGTAACAATCTTCCCTCATATCCACCTTCGTAACAGTGTTTTTACTGAACATTCAAGGAGAGAACAAAGAATCACTTCAATTTCTTATTTCAAGATCCCAGAAAGGTTTCGGTTGTGGTGAAGGATTCCGAGGGCGACTCCGACAACTACAGTGACATCGGTGCAGGTCGCAGCGACACCGACATGGGACGGAAGGAGATCGAAATGTGAGTATTTAAAAGTTAAAATTGATTAAAATTTGATAATATTGGAGGGTTTCTACTCTCTTCATTTGTGTCAGATGCCAAACCATGTAAAATGATTAAAGTAACGGTTATCAAGAATCTCTGATTTTATCTTATATTAAAAGATTGGGCAGCTCAGTTCTTTTATATTACTGTGGAGGGGCGGTGGGGTAGCCTAGTGGTTAAAGCGTTGGCTCGTCACGCCGAAGACCCAGGTTCGAATCCCCACATGGGTACAATGTGTGAAGCCCATTTCTGGTGTTCCCCCGCCGTGATGCACTTGGAATATTACTAAAAGCGGCATAAAACCAAACTCAGTCAGTCAGTCAGTCAGTATATTACTGTGGTATTAATTCTAGTAATTGGAAGAAATTAGGTGGTCCTTAACTGTCTTTGGTTTGGTATCTTCAGTTTACAAAGTCATTTTGACAATTATATGTTTCCTGCAAAATCAACGTCATTATTAACCTTGTCAAAACGATATCAATGATAAATGTTTGTAAAGTTGTAAACATCCATAGCCTGAGTCACTTTGGTTTTCCTACAACCTTCAGAATGTCCAGCTAACACAATATCAAGCTGTGATATTACTGTTATACTGTATAAGGCAGCATTAATCCAACTTACTCATTGTAAATATTTTCTCTTTCCTCATTTGATATATACTTTTCAAAACAAGTTGGAGAACACCCATATCGGGAAGGCTAAACAGCAGCTACAGTTTAAAGGTTCTGTTGCGGAACCTACCAGCTATGGTTTACCTATAGTCATATGAAAAAGAATTCTTAAACTTGTTTTGAGTATTATATGTATAAGTTAGCGCAGCAACATATAGAAATCTAACAAAATAGACAATTTATTGAGAATTAAATTAATTAAATTAATTTCATCAATATATCACTCACTCCCCGCGCACTCACTCACTCCTCACTCACTCACTCACTCACTCACTCACTCACTCACTCACTCACTCACTCACTCACTCACTCACTCACTCACTCACTCACTCACTCACTCACTCACTCACTCACTCTTGTGAATGCTACTTACTCTCTGTACAGGGATGATGCCAGCCTACCAGTTCAGGACGGTGAAGTCAGTGGTGTGTCTCTGATTGCTTCAGACTCCAGCAGTTTACAAGGGTCTACAGCACAGGTTTGCACAGATTCAATCTTGTTTGATTCTTTTGAATGCAGTAGAATCACTTTTTTCTTGGTGTTCTTGAGTAAAATCCATAGTTTTAGCGAAGTACTCATCATTGCAATTTGGTTTCTGTTAATAAAGAAATTGAAACTTTTCTTGTGAGTCAGACCATTTTGACCTGACTTTGAGTTCCTGGCTTATGCAGATAACTATGGGTTGACATTTAGACCTGTCCTTTGTAACCTGATTACTCACTGCAATTCAATCAACCTTAATTATCTGCAGGCTGTGTCGCCATCAAGTCTTGACTCATCATTGATGGAAGACGATCGAGCAGAAGCTGACCAGATCCATTCGGTCAAGGGAGGTAATCAGGATTCATCACCTGAAAACACTTTGAAAGACCTGTCGGACACATCTCCAGATGCTGGGATGATGCCCATTGAGGAATCTGTGATATTAGGGGAGATAACTGCATCTAGTCAAGGGGAGATTAGTCTGAAAGAGTCGGCAGAAACAGCCCATGAAAGTGCTAGTCAGGAGGTTTTGGCAGGTTCTGCTGGTCCCAGTGTAAATATTGATGATTCTATTCAGGAATGTTCGGGTGAAGACAAAAGTGCAATAGATTTGGATAAATCTGGTCAAGAAGAAGCTAGTGCTTTGAAAACTCCATCCAAGGGCAAAAGTGCAACCCCAGCATCAAAAAAGAAAAGTGCTGAGAAAGTGATTGAACATAAGAAACCTAATCTCAATGTGCGATCGTCATTAGCAGATTATATCCGAGCTCCGGTTCCAACAAAACCCAAGGAAGAGAAAGGGGAAGATTCAAAATTGAAGAAAAATGTGGTGAATAAGAAACGTGCTGATAACAAAAAGACAGACGTTGGGAAATCGCCTGAAAGTGCTAATGTCAAAACTGATGAAAATACTGCAGAATCAAAGAGAATTCGACCCAAAATTGAAAAGGAACCCCCCAAACTAATCAAAAGGACTCCTCCGAAAAGCAAATGGGATAATATCATGTCACAACTTGACAGTAGTAAAGTGCCTAAACCCAAACCTAAGTCAGAAATAAAGAGTAAACTGGAGACGTATCTTGCAACCCCAGTACCAGTGGCACCAAAGAAGGAAAAGGAGCCAAAAAAAGAAATTAAACCAAGAACAAAAGTAGTGTCATCCCCGAAACCTGACTATAGTAAAGTGAAGAGCAAGCTTAGCATTTCTACTCCTCCTCCGCTAAAAAGGGAACAGTCGCCTGTGGCCAACAAAACCCAGAGAATGAGGTCACCGCGACCCCTTCCCAGATTGTCCAGTGGGAACATTCATCTGGATTTATCAGAGTCGTTTGACAACAGTGTGCACAGTTCAGCCCGGAGTAGTCGCACCGATCTTAGTGTGGATATAATTGAAAATATGCCGGAGTCTCCCAGAGAATCAAAGGCAAGAACACCAAGTAAGTAAATTTGCCAAGTTTTTCTTAACGACCTGGGTGCAAACCAGCCTTAGCACTAAGACTGTTGTTAGTCAAGGTATGTGAGTAACGATGATCTTAGTGCTATGATCGCTTTGGATCAGGACAATCGGGCAATTTCAAATACCCTAGGGTTTAACTCATAACTAACGCCTCCGTGGTGTAGTGGTTAGAGCGTCCGCCCAGAGAACGGAAGGTCACGGGTTCGATCCCCGACCGCGTCATACCAAAAGACGTTAAAATATGGTACTTGTTGGTCCCTGCCTGGCGCTCGGCATTAATGGGTACAACAAGGACTGGTCGGCTCGGAGTCAGTATAATGTGTCTGAGTGGGGTATTCATGCTTCACTGCGGCATGGTATCTCAGTGGGCTAGCACTATAAAACCAGCTTCAGTCTGGGCTAGTACAAGCAGCCGCACATACACATACACACACATGCACGTCGTCATCTGAGCGAAATATTCTCAAGCACTACGATAAACCCAATTTCACCTCACCTCACCTCACCTTAACTCATAACTATTTGAAAATTTAGTCGAAAATTGACTTGAAACATTCTGATGAGTCAGACTAATCTTTTCATTTAGTAATCCAGAAGTATTGCTATGCAACCCAGACTACATTAGATTGATATTTTGGTACAAATCCATTTGGTATGGAGAGATCCACGTAGAACAGTGGTCATATTGTGTCACAGTTCAGTGTCAAAGGTTCGAATCCCAGATGTTCCCAATTGTGTTTCTAGATTTACAAACATACTCACCATGCTTGCACTTGACACTTTCTTCCTCCACTAAGCTGATTCCACACTATGGAACTGGAATACTGTTCAAAGTATCAGTAAACCAATTCACTCACCAAACAGACAGCATTCTGGTAGCTGTTATTAAGAGGTTCCACCTTAGCCTTACCAGAAGTTCAGTATAGAGGGTTCTTTTTGTTCCAAGCCTGCTTTGATTATTCCCTTTAGCCGTGATTGAATTCCCAGTCAGAATTTATGGTTGTGACAGGCAGGCAAATGGATCAGGTAATCCGACCTGTTGATTTGTACCTAACAAAGTGGAAAGTATCCCACAATATCAATCACTTGGCTATCTGTTCTAGACTCAATTATTTACTCAATCTATATCCTATATGTGAATATTCCTGAGTGCAGCATTAAACAACCAACAGTAAAAAAAAAAAAATTAATTTGTTTTTAAATGGGACGTGTTGTATCTTGATGCAAATCTTACAGTCAATATCAAATATATCTTCTGTAAAAACAATTCCATATTGAAGTCAAGGGCATTTGGCATCCTTGTGGTTAAAGCATTTTCCCATTAGATAATTCCTGAATTCAATTTCCAACATTAGTAATGTTTTGAAGCCCACTTCTGATGTTTCTACCTTGATATTGCTTGGATTTTGTTAAAGGGGTGTAAACAAATACCACTATTCGCTCATTGTATTGGAATCATCACCTCATTTACTAAAGCCAGTTGACCGAAGGAAATGTTGACCATGTATTACAACACAGCCCCAAATAGAGCTTTATACAGGGTTATTACATTGCCAGGACATGCAGCTGGTTGATACGGGTTTTATTCAATATATTGTATCTTGAGTCTGTCCAATAACATTGACTAAGTGAATCACTCTTCAGAGTCTAGAATCAGGTACATTTAATGCCCCATGTAAAGGATCATTACTGGTAAAAATATCCACAGACTAAACACAGTTCAGCTGACAAGGAGAGTGTTATTATAACACAACCTGAAGCCATTTTAGATCCTATCTAATGGACTTGGAACATGTTTATTAAGACTAATACTTCACTGTTTTAGGTTTGGAGTGGTGGGGTATCCTAGCGGTTAAAGGGATAGTGTGATTGCAAATTTCTTCAAGGATGGGGAACCAATGGTCTATAATTTGGCACTATGCTTAACTTAGATCATTTGGGCAAGGGGAGACTTACATCTAGTCTCTGAAATGAACATATTTTACAGAAAAAGAATATTAACAATACTAATTGGCCACTTATATAGCGCTGAACTCCACACCACAGGGACATGCTCTAAGCGCATACACCATGATGGGCATTATTACCCCGCTAAAACCAAGCTGCCTGTGAGGCGCTAGAAGGTTAATGGTCATGTGATTTATACCACCAGGTACCCATTATTAAATTAAAATAAAATACATTAAAAAGGAGCCCAGAGACTTTCTTCATTTTCAGAAACTGTAATCCAGACTTGCTGCACATTCTAGACATTTTCATGGTCTGATGACTAGGGCAAGGGTTTATATCACTGATCATATGTTGATTTTATACTTGGTTTGTCATCCTAATACATGGGTTTCACTCATATGGTACAGGTTGTCTTCAAACTGTTTACTGGAATAATAGATACTTCTGGAGAAAGTGTGATAAAATGCCTCAGTTAGAAATGAACTTCAGCTTCCCTTTAAACAATGTACCAAGTCAGACAATAACAAAAAAGTAGATATTTGTACATATCATCAGTGAAGTTTTTCCATATAATTTCATTAAAGTAGTTTTCATCCAAATAGCATCACTCAAGTCTAAAGTTATTGGTTATGAGAAGTTCAGGACAATAGGCTTTTGGATAGTTATAGTGAGTTATCCTATAGCAGGGTGTAAGAAACATTTATTCAATGAGTGTTATTGGCAGATATTGATTGGAATCTAGGTCAGTCATCCAGAGAACCAACTGTATGCTGGGAAAAACATTGTGGTAGGGGTGGTGTTCTGTGAAGACGAGGTTGGCATGTTTGCCTTGTAATTAAGTAAGGGTTGCCCCATGGAATCCATCGTCTTGGCATATCAGAAATATTGATCAAGTGACTTGATGAGACTTCTTGAAATGCTTCATCAGGAGTGCATAGCTGGAGCAGATTTTCTCATTGTCCTTGTCGGAAAGGCTGAAATTTAAAGCTCCAAGTCAGTAAATTTGAAGAAGATTATTTTTTTCTGTGTTGGTAGTTTATGGGAAAAGTCTTCTTAATGTGTTCTTTCAATTTGATTTAGTGTCAAGATTTAATTTTACGTTCTACGACCAATTCTATTTCCTGAACTAGAATTTTGATGAAGTAATTTGAACTTAAAGAGTATGACAAATTGGGAAACCTTTTTCATATTTCAACAATTGCATTAAGAAGGGAATACATTTTTCTTTGTGTAAAGTACAAAGAAATTAATAGAGTTAAATATTTATCAGCATTAGATGAGGGCGTTCCATACAAAAGTTTTAAAAGGCAGAATATTTTAGAAGAGCAATTCTTCAAAAATTGACTCTTTTTATCAATATCTCCTGTTGGCCAAATGCCAGAGTGGTCCATGGGTGACTGTCAGAATGATTGCTGCATTGATCTTTCAGAGTTCATCTGGACTTGACCCACATTCAGTAAAGCTTGACTGACATGACCCCAGAAAGTTAACTTGAAGTTTCTGGAAATATATAAATTTGATCAAAACAAGCAACTTCATTAAAACTAAGCATCAATGAGAAAGGGCCCTGCGGAAAATCTAGATTGACATCATTTTGGGCTTCAGTATTATAGAAAGACTGGGCATTGAGGCAAGTAATGTGGTTCGGGGACTCGCGCAGGAGACAGACCTGTGAAATGCTTATCACAGAATTATGGATGCTGTCTGTACTAATTATATTTAAAATTATTTTTTGTAAACAGTTGACCAAGACAGTTTGATATGGACACTTGTAGAAGAAAGAGAATTTGTGATTGTCTTGCATTAATTGCAGCTAAAGGTCACAAAAGTATGAATTTAGAAAAAAATTCATTCCAGCTTCCATCATTGTTGGTTGTGAAGTACTATAAGAACTGATTTTATGAAAATAGTGGTAAGGATACATGTATCTATGCATCTCAGTGGTTGTGATCAATTCATACAACCAATGCAGATATGTCTAAAGATAACCATACCAATCGATATGGTAGTGATCACTCCAAGCCATCGATCCTATGAGAACTGATGTTATCTGAAGTAGTTGTATGGAGAACTGTACCAATCATCATGGTTTGGATTAGTTCATGCATCATCAGATCCCATAAAAATCTCATGTGAAGAACAATAGTTGATAGGACATATGTACCAATCTATATCGTAGTGATTCATGCATGGTTGTCATGGGAACAGCATGAAGTGTGAAGGCAGATCAATAGAAGGTGCAGAAGTAGTTTCAGAAATACATCTTTCTCAACATGGGAATGAGTCACACTTTCCCAATTTAGGAATTATACGTCCCTAGTGAGTCTTTGAAATGTGAAAAGTTAAATCTAAACAAGAAATTGAAAAAACTGTTAAAATAAATTTTGTCCTTTCGAACCTAGCCCTGTCAGAGCAGCCACACAACATCCTCACTCAATGTTTTCTTTTATCTACATTGTAATGAATATTCATCCACTTCTGTGGTAAAAAGTGTTTTAATGGTTAGTCAATAATGTTTCAGCTCTTATGTCAGGGTCCTGATTCAAATGCTCACTCACTCTCACTGTTTGGAACAGGATGCCCTGACATATGAGCTGGAACTTTATTGACTACCCTTTACAACCATTTTTTCACAACAGAAGTGCGTCATGATTAATCATTCAAAACTACAAAAGAGGAATATATGAAAACCATTCAGAAGTGACATAGAGCCACTGGATTCATAGCTCTTCTCTTCTGTTAAAGTATAAGCATAACAATGTACAGTTTGTATTGGCGTGAAGGCTGCATATTGATTCTGTTGTTCCAACATGGCTAGGTATTGTTCTGCAAATCTATTGATCACAGTCATATCTAACTCAAAGTGAATTGTTGAGGCTTGAATGAGTTGTTGGTAGATGCAGCTGCTTGTGTTTGTGGTGTAGAAGTTCCTGAAAAACAGTTTTGTGATAATCTTAAAGTCATTTTGATGAAGGGCAAATGTTTCTTAACAATGCTAAATTATTTTATCCAGAAAACCAGTTGTCAGAC